AATAACAACAAGCACATTCAGTACTCTGTTAATAGCCTTTTGGAGTTGCTGAAACCTCAACAGGGCCTAAGTGTGGAACCAGTCAATGAATGCACTATCTATTGGGACAACCTCCTCAACTTTCCTTCAAATTTGACGAGTTTCTCGCCCATATTCCTAGCTCTTTTCTTTGCCAAGACCTTCCCTATCCTTTTCTATAGTGTATCGATGACGCTTGGGATATGCAACTGAAGTTGTCCCTCCGCCATGCTGTCAAGAGCGCTCTTGCACAGTTGAGGTGCGATGCTTGGATCGCTCTATTGCTAGAAGACGAAACCAGTTCGATGCAGGTGCCATACAGTCGAATACGGAACACCTTCTAGAACCTAACTTTATACGCAGCCTTCACCACCTCGAATTTTATGCTGTAGTTGCACCTCTTTTACAGACTAACGTAAGCGAGCCTCTGCCTCGTTTCACGGATAGCAGCTGATACTTTGAATCGGAACCTCTTCCGGCGGGACGCCACACATGTGTTGCACTGTGGTCTCCTAACATCCCAAATTTACTTTCGTCGCTCCAGATGACGTTGGAGCCCTGTGGGGATCTCCCTTTCTGGTGTGCGCGGACTCATTCCATTCCCTATCACTTCACCGTCGGACAACTTCATAGGATTTGAGATGTGGTGAAGGCTGACGTATAAAGTTAGGTTCTAGAAGGTGTTCGTATTCGACGTATGGCACCTGCATCGAACTGACTTCGTCTTCTAGCAATAGAGCGATCCAAAGCATCGCACCTCAACTGTGCAAGAGCGCTCTTGACAGCATGGCGCGATTCAAACGGAGGGACAACTTCAGTTGCATATCCCAAGCGTCATCGATACACTATAGAAAAGGATAGGGAAGGTCTTGGCAAAGAAAAGAGCTAGGAATATGGGCGAGAAACTCGTCAAATTTGAAGGAAAGTTGAGGAGGTTGTCCCAATAGATAGTGCATTCATTGACTGGTTCCACACTTAGGCCCTGTTGAGGTTTCAGCAACTCCAAAAGGCTATTAACAGAGTACTGAATGTGCTTGTTGTTTTTACCATTCCGTCGATTGTTTTGTTGAATTATAAGCTTTCTACAATAATTTGAAACCTACTTGGAATTTGAGCATACTCGAGAATTTTTAGTAAAAGGACTTTTTCATTCCTAACTCTCCCTCCCATCCAACACTTATACGCTTGCCTAGTGAAGAATGTTTGCCTCTTAAACATATCAAAATTTGAACTGAATTTGATTCAGCAGAAGAAAAGTTACGGCCGAAAATGCATTTGGCCGAATACTTTTGAGCGCTACTGTATGTACAATGCGCTTCATGTATTGTATGAATCAGCCTATTTATTGAAGAGAAATGTTGACACTTCAAAATAGTTACGGCGAACACAGGAAACTACTTCAATGTCTACTGTATTACAGTCAAAAACGAGGCTAGGCGAAAAACGAGACAAAATTAATTGAAAAAATACGGTAGAATATTGCGTGAACACACTTGTTACAGCTGTTGTTAACGAAGCAATATAATGTACAAAAAAGATTGTGCAAATTAAAAACATAGAACCAAAATAAGGTTAAAAAATGAGTATGATGTGCTAACAAGGGAAGGATGATAGGTGGAAGTAGCCAGTTGAGATTAGATAAGGACCAGTAAAGGCTCTTCATACGCTGAGCTTTGTGCTCCGAACCTGCCAAACTGCTTTCTGAACAGAGCCGCGGAGGTTCATGTGATAGAGAACAGACTCCAGTTTGGAAAATTATGGACACACACGTCACATGGATATGAATCAGTAGCCTTCCGGTTACTACCCCGTCTCATAGGCGGTATGCAGCAGGCCCGGCCAAAAATATATCCCCGAAGGCCTATCCCCAGCTGGAGCTTGCTGCATATGGCCCCATGTCTGCAACGCCAGTGACAACTCGATCCTCGACTCAGAGGATTTTTGCAATTTTTGTAGTTTTGCGATTTTTATGAAGTGCGCTCAATATGTTTACAAACACTCTAGCATTGTTTAGAAACTTAATCTTGTCAAAACTACAGCCCGCAAAGAAGTGGGACCGTTCCAGACACTTCAGTCACAGCTGCTTCTGGTCGCTTGTTTATCCGGAACACCAAAAAAATTCTGTAAACAGGGGTACACCGGTGTGCTGACAAGGAAACCGACAATTATTTCGCATGAAAAATGAAACCCTTCAAGGCGACCGTTGCATGTGTGAGTGGCCCCAAACAGAGCTAAAAAAAACTTGCACTCATTAGGCACGCTGTGCACATTTTTGGGTCAAACATGCGACACTGGTATTTAGGAGCTCAAGTTAGATCTAGGCGCACGTTTACAGCCAAACTGGCATTTTCAGCTTCACTTCAAAAAAGTGCTGTAGCACTGTAGCTTTCGGTAGTGGAAACCGTGATACGGCGTCAAAGACACTATCGAATAAAGGGGCACTACTACCCTCCGCTACCCCACTTTTTGATGAAGGGTCAAAATCCCGATTGGGCTAGAAAATTGCCCCTAATTGTAGTTTGACCTCTTCATGGCGAAGTTTCCTTCTGATCGGAATATACGTTCGTGTGTCGCGTGTGCTGTAGCATCTTAACGGGATCGTCCAGAAAAAAGCCATGAATCAATATCACCCCAAATCACTGGCATGGAGCTCATCGTTCATTGATACAAAAAAACAAAAAGAGCTAAAAAAACTGCGCCTGATTTCGTGAACGATGCAAAAAACCCGAAAGACTGTTATACATTGAATTCCCGCCGTAATCTGTCGCAAATGTTGGCGACAGGAACGACTCCACTTGGTTCTCGGAGTGCCTTCTCTAAGGTCCCTTTCTGCCCTTTTACTTGAGTCAATAACCATTTTCTTTTCTACTACATCCTATTCTATCAACCGTTGTGCCTCTGATATTATTTTCTATTATGTTTTATGCGATTCTTCCATTTCGCCTGAACGGTGACCGCCCAAAGAAGCACTTCTTCCACGCGCCGTCACTGGCTCCGCGCGATCTACCTTCCACCGTCCAAAGTGGGTTTTGGTTAGTTGGTTTCTCCTCGAAACTGAACTTTTGCTTGTGAAACTTAATCCATGTTGGGAAAGAATGCAGTAATTTTCCGGGGACGATTCTTTAAATATCAAAAACAGAAAGTTTAAAAAGACTCATCAAAAATCAAACCATAGTTGAGCAGTGATCGAAAGTTTATAACCTACGTACTTCTGATGACGTGTTACGAAAAAGCAAAAAAAGTACGCCGATCCGATCCCTTGACGTCGGTCCCGTAAGTTCGCCTCATCACCCATTAAGCCATCACACCACTTGCGGTAAAAAAAACCTTCGTAACTTTGTTCACAGCGTCGTTTAGCGGATGCGAATGACATTTCGGCTCAGCGTATAAAGGCGAATCAGGTGGTATACGCTTGATTTCAGACGACCACTCCAATCTGCCATCCTTCCCTGTAAGGAAAACAAGACCCAGAAGGTTATCGTCATCACTGACGCTGTACAGTGCCCTTCTTCAACTGCTGAATCACCCTATCCACATCACCATGAAGATCGTTTGAAAGCATCTCGTTCAATTGTTCATTACGCAACCTCAGCCTTCTGTTCTCCTCCAACTCTCCAACGAGCTGTAAGTACGACAACAGAAATGGTTACTCAATATGAACGCTGCACCTTATGTAATCTTAAGCAGGCTTGGGCATCAAACACTGGCGAGTTGCGCGCATTCGCTAGCGATTGATCGCGGAGTCTGACAGTTGCTTTACAATGTTTTGCCATCATCCATCTGCATTTTAGTAATGCGATGCAAATGCAGTTCCGGGGCATTTTTCCACTATCAGAAAGGAAGACGAGAACTCTCCTTCGGACAATAAAGTGCAGAATTTTTGCAATCCTCTGCAAGCTTTCCCACTCCGACCTACGGTCGACTGGTAGCTCCATTTAAACAAAATAGAGCAACTTCTATGAACGATATGCGTAAGACCATTCCCACCATCTCTGTTCATTGAGAAATCGTGAGACATAGCGAGCAAAAACAGTTTGGGCAATGCAAGTAGATAGGGCTGGCAGCAGCAAAAACTACTCAGGGTTCCGCTGTCAGCTGCGGTGAGAGCACACCGAAGCAGTAAGGTTGGTGTCAGGGCTCCTGCGAAGTGATTACGACCGTCGCGCTACGGATTACAAAAATCACAAAGTACCCATTGCGAGGTGTCTCTCCAATACCACCGCCATTTTTGCTTGATCGTGATGAATGAATGGCGACTGTTCATGATTCTACAGTTCAAATCTCGAAGTATGATTGGGCATGTCACCGAAAATGACGTGGCGGCCATCGCACTTGATAGTTGTCGTGTGGATAAAATGCTCCGTCACATATCAGCAAAACGTGTTGGAAGCAATTTATCCGCACAACTTCTATTAAGTGCAGTGGCTGCCACGTCATTTCCGGTCCGGTGATACGCTCAACCAGACTTCGAGATATGAACTGTACTTGTTCCATATTCAGCGTTTCAAATATTCCAATAGGCGAATTCGCAAACAACTTGCGATTTCTGCAATTGGCGCGAATAACGCAACGGATCGTGGAGTCTGACACCAGCCTAAGGCCGTGTTCATGATCAGAGCAGGAGATGGGAGGAAAGGCATGTAACCGTTTAAGGGCAGTGGTCAACCGGATGGCTTGGTGATTCAGCGTTTTGTAGTGTACTCTGGGACTCTCGCATACGCACACTATTACAGCATCTCTGCTTTCTTTCCTTCTTTCGAAAGGCTTAGTCCCAGCAATGCGCTTTTCTGTCTGGACTCGCACTCGTTGGTTGACCGCTGCCCCGTAATCCAGTGTAACCTCGCCTTCAAATGACCAGAAATTGTGCAATTGCAGAAATTGACGTGGCATTGGCACACGTGGCTAAATTCTCGATGAAAAGGTGACATCACGTGTGCTCAAAGATGTTCTTGAATCGATGCCACGTTAATGCCACGTCAATTTCTGCAATTGCACAATTTCTGGTCATTTGAAGGCGAGGGTACTACAGTCCATATCTCGAAGTCTGATTGGGCGTGTCACCGGAAATGACGTGGCAGCCACCGCACTTGATAGAAGTTGCGCGGATAAGCTGCTTCCAACACGCTTTGCTGATATCTGGCGGAGTATTTATCCACACGACATCTATCAAGTGCGGTGGCCGCCACGTCATTTCCGGTGACACGCCCAATCAGACTTCGAGATATCAACGGTATAATAATGGGCGGTGGGAGATCAGCAGATTAAGAAAATCAGTAGAAAGATCAGATACGTATTGATTGATTTTACTGAGGACTTCTCATCTCTTTTCTCCAAATCTCCTTACTGTTAGCATTCATTTGATCATCTCAGCTTAAGAGTATTTTCGCTGCAGGAACCTCAACTGCACCGATGATCATGAGTGAAGCCCAAGTTCCCGCAGAGTTCCCAAGTTTCCAAGTTCCCTAAGTCCTGCTTCTGCGTACCTACACTTGAGCCAAACCTTACTGCACAAAAGAAAAAGAATGGGCCAAGTTTGCAGAAAGATGAATTCATGTACCGGAGAGCTAACTGGTAGTACGAGGACAGAGAGAAAAAATGATCACAAATTCTACTAACCTGCTGTCTGATTTTAATTATAACTGCCATCAACACTTCATTATTGACGTGACTCTGGGGAATTTCCAACATCTGAAACAAAATCCTGCGGCATTTGTTATCGAGATGAAAGTGGGTTCACAAATCAGTCATTGCGCGCACGGATGTGACAGAACGAACTGATTGCCAATGTTTTGTAAACATCCAAAAAGTTCTAATCATGACCTCAAAGTGAGAAAATAGACCGATAAATAAGAGTTTTGAAAGAAGAAATCGAATTCTATCGCAGAATAATGGATTGAGTGAGTCTAACGAAAAATGAAGGAAACAGAAAACCATTTGACAGCTATTAACCACTCAATCAAGTGCTCCCATCCGTCTTCCCACAGCTGTTTCCCGCTATTAACTCCTTGTGAGCCATATCCATTTCATTCGATGAAGACAACTGTAGTGTACAATTTCGCAAATCCCTCTACTCAGCACATACAAAGTGGTAGGTGGCACTAGGAATAAGCCTAGGAGGGGCAGAAACGCCAAGAAGAACATATATTGCTCACATCTACTTAGTTGAAGTATTTGCACAAATTGAACCACAGCTGAGCGCTTTCACAAAATCACCCAATCGAATAGTTAACTCTGGCTATGGGAGAAGAGGAACTAACCTTGTTGATGTACGCTTCAGGGTAAGCTGGATGTACTGGAAGTGACAAAAGGAGCTGTAGTAATTCAACGAGAGTTTTGTTGAAACCGTCTCCATCCAACCACTCGTTAAGTTCCTTAAAACATTTATTTCAGACCAATCACAAATGCTGGAAACGTGACAAACCTTATTGGCGAGGTCAGCCCCTGTGCGATCTCCGAATGGTCCAGAGCTCATGATTTCGATTCTGAACATTGCAAATTGGGAAAAGATTCTATTTTGAATTACCCTTACCAAAAACAAAGTCACGGGCGTTAATAGCCTTGGGGGTAGGATACTTCAGAAAGGGGCATTGGAAACTGCGACGGTAGGTGATAAAAAGACTAAACGCCAAGGAGAACAAAAATTCACACTCTCCGCACGATTCCTTACCCTCCTTAGGTTCGGTTTACGGACTACTTGATTTTTCCTCAATGGTCCTGCCGCGATGGCTAGAGCACAGACGATTAGAGAACTAGGACTAAGCCTTGGAGAGGAGAGGGACCCGCGAGAGAGCGCAGAGGCGGTTTAAAGGGCTGAGTTCAAGTAGTCCGTCGACCCTTAGGTTCAGTCCCGAGCACTGTAAGTGGCTGACTTGAATTGCCCCTCCCCTCCCCCTCTTAACACGTTGGAGACCGCGCCTGTTTTACGTTTTGCGGCCGCGTATGACTTCAGTGAAATTTTCAGGAACCTTGTCAAGCAAATTGGAGAAAAACCTACATCATTATAAAGAGGAAACCTTATGGAATAAAATAGAAGAGAAAAGGAAAGAAAAACTTTGTCTTTGTTTCCAAATTATGAGCTGTAAGGTCCTATGTGGGAGACGGACTGCAGCCCACATATGGGCTGCATGGGCTCCAAAGTGTTAAGGAAATGAGCGCCAAGTCATGAATCAACAAGTTGCAAAGTGAAATGACGCAAACAGGTGCAAATGTAGATGGAGGGGCCACGCAGAGGCGCGAACCTCGCTCGTCTGTGCCTCCAATGCTTAGTCTGCATTCCCGCTATGTTTCGAAAGTGCCAAGTGATGGCGAAATAGTAACGGCCCAAAAAGGAATCCTTACAGGTGCAGACGAAGAGCCTTTCGCGACAAAAACTGGTGAGAAGTACTCAAGAAACTCTTCAAATAGAAGAAAAACCCTTCACAGGAGGCGGAATTTCGTAGCGGGACCGTCTGTCCAAAGAGGCTAGCGCACAGACTTTTGAATGTCAGCGCCTGTGATAGCTCTAAGCTGAATAGGCTGCATGCGAGGTAGAGTAGTACGAAAACCAGGAAATGGAAGCAATCCAGGGAGTGGGGATGCGTGAGCCATTTCGTCTGGCAAAAGTCCCAGCATACAAAATTTCTACAGTAAAAGAAGCGCGGTTCTATACAAGTGGGGTGGGCACACCCAGCTTTTCACGCATGTCAAGTGACTGCCCTCACCCCCCCCCCCACCCCCTAGATTGGCTACACTCCCCTGGCTCACGAATTCCCCGATTCTCGTATAGTAGCGGGCAGCAGTCCCACTTACATACATTTCTGTTCAAAAAATGCGGCGTGCCCACCCTACTTGTATAGCACCAAGAGCGCAAGCAAAGGCAGCACCTTGATGCTGACTGAACGACCAACTTCAAATAGCCCGCATACCTACCACTCCTCTTACAGTCCAACGTTTTCGCTGCGGGACCACAGCACCACAAGTGACGACGGCCTTCACAAAATGTTAATGTTTTCTGCCAATGATTAGCCTGTTGCAGTTGTATTCTATCGATTGTCACTAATTACAACTATCATTTACCAGAAATCAGCTATCACTATGAACAACTTCTAACCAGATTTACTTGGAGGCCGTCGTCAGTTGTGGTGTTTGGTCTGCACCCGACACTTTCTCGCTTTTTGAAAGGAGGTTAACTATTATCTCCCAGTCGTGCGTTCGTGGGCGCGTTCACGCTGTGATTTTTCGCTGTGGGATCCCACATCGTAGTCCCGTTGCGAAATTATTGCGCGGAACATGACGTGGCATTCTACTGGAACGCCAAATATTCAAAAAATCCCTGTCAGCCGCCGGCGCGAAAAAATCTTTTCAAGCTGTTTCCACGGAAAACTAGATTTGTGATGTTGCTCTCGAAGCTGGAGAACCTGAGGGCAGGGTATTCTCTCCTGATTTTCACTCAATAATGCGGCAAGTTAGTGTGGTCAGTGCTGCGCACACGTTCTGGCTCCTACTGGGGTGGAATTACCGACAAAGGGAGAGGTCTGGGTATGGAATGTTATCTTCTCCCCCTATTCTTATAATTTTGGAAACCATTTGCTATAAAAAGTGCGTATCTGACTGTATGACGTCGCATTTGTAACGGCAGCTTTTGAACGGAAACGAGGAGGTTGCATAAATTGGTCCTTGATCAAGCAGCGATGATTTCACAAGGAAATCCTTGAAGGCACAGGCCAGGATATGGCCAGTGGTATAGAGCCCTACGTGAGATTGGTGGAAGGATGGACAAACATACTGGTTGTACTCTAGATGTCGTGTCACGCAACTGCAAGGTTAAGGCGTTCGGTTTCACAAGAGGCATTCGGGATTGTGCACACGAACTGATCTCATAGGCCCCCAGGGTCAACCGTTACGTTGGACCGATATTGGAGCGACGTTGGACCGATGTTCACCGCTCTCCGCGCCGGCATTCACTCTCGCCACCCGCGAGCCGTCTGTGTCTCCGTGCGTACGTTCACTCTCGGCATTACTCTCGTCGTCGCGTTGGACTTTGTCCAACGGACGGTTGACCCTGGGCCCCGTCCGCTCCTGCTTGTATCCATGCTCTCTCGTCACCAATTCCTCTCTCTCCGCTCATTATCTCCCTCGCTCTCTGTCTCGTCTTTCCACAGCCCAGAGAAAAGAGCTTTTCATTGAGGGTTTTCGGTGGTCTATTTTCTTTTTTCTTCACTGTCGATCCCGTTCGCACCTCTACTTCCCGGTTTTCGGGCAGAATAAACATATACTCCCTTTCAAAAAACGAGAAAGCGTCGGGTGCAGACCATACACCACAAGTGACGACGGCCTCCAAAATGTAAATGTTTTCTGCCAATGAAATGATTAGCCTGTTGCAGTTGTATTCTATCAGTTGTCACTAATACACTTACAATTACAACTATCATTTACCAAAAAATCAGCTATCACTGTGAACCACTATGGACCACTAGTAACCAGGCTTGCTTGGGGGCCGTCGTC